CAGTCAAATGATAGTCACTCTAGGACACTGATTCTGAGCCTTTCAGAGGCTCAGAAGGTTAGCCAAGAGGTAATAAAACTTATTCTGGAAACTTCCGGTTAATGTCTAAGTCGTATCTCATATTCTCCTATTTTCAATACACCTATTCATTTTCTAGAAAGATTTTTGTCTCTTATATATCAGCCCAACTATATTCAGTTGCATGTTATAATCCCTTCAGATTAGCAGGTTCACCTTATCATTCTCTTCCCTTTTTAGGGAATTTTATCTGTTGCAATATGCTTCTATATGCCATATGGGGAATGCTATTTTAGAGTTCATGCTTATCAACATGTAATAGGCATGCAATAAGACTGCAGGAAGCTATTTTTATGTAGAATATGACAAATCCCTGAGGGTCTCTGGCAGGGCCAATAATACAGGTCTCTTGGTAGTCTATGTAACTGACTTCACAGTCTTACGTCCAGATCTAAAGAGGGACTTTGGTTTTTTTGTTTTAAACAGCAAGACACAACCAAATATCTGCATAAAATATGAGGAACTTAGATAGCTATGAAGAATTTGGAGAACAAGAAAGGGAATCCTCATGAACTGAAGGTTCACTAAAGAAGAGATGATCTGAAAACAAAGCAAATTTTGAGTATCGAGACTGATTTTTCCAATTTATGGTCAAGAGAGACTTCTCACCAGATGTTCAAGGTCTGGTTAGAATTTCACCTCACTCATATTATTATTACCTGTTACTTCTGAAATCTCGGAATATGTCCATTTTTTAGAATTTGTATCTTTAATTTGAAACTTGGCACTTAATTACCTATGAACTTATGTTATCTGTTACTATTTCGTGTACTTGGGGTTCACTCACCTAATCAGGATACAGGTCTTATAGGGTGAAAGAGCTGTCATACAACTCTCCTGAATTTTCATTGTCCCAGCATGAAGCAGGGCCCTTCAGGAAGCCCTGAACAAGTAACTTCGAATTTATTCTATAACATTACCAAAGGACAGACCATTGCCAAGGAGCTGAAGAGAAGGAAGGGGAGAGAAGAGCAGGATGTAGGAGCTCTGCCTGAATGAAGCAGCTGAGATTTCCTGCAGTGACTCATACCACAGGGATGCCAGCACTGATCAACACAAGTGGAGAAAATGTCTTAGGCGCTCAAACTCTAGTGTTCTTATTATTAGCTGACGTATGGATTACATTTTCCTCTGACAATGTATAAGAAACCAAATTCTTTGGAAAAGAAACTTTTATGCTAGATGTGAACCAAAAGAGACACAAAATGATTTTGCCCTGCAGAGACTGGTGAAGATTAATAATTAGACAAGCCACCTGATCTCCGGCCTTAGAATATCAGATACTGAAGAAATCTCAGGTGTCATGGGATCCCCAGCACAGGAAACTGAAGCCTAATGACATGCAATGTCTTGTTCAAAGCAATGTAGCTGGTTAGCAGCAAAGCTGAATCTAGATTTCTGGCACCTCAAGCTCATGATCGTTCCACACTAATTTCATGAGAAGTAAGAGAATTCTACTGGTTTAGCAGAGAAACCACCAGTGACCATCTGCCTCCTCCTTGACTTCCTTCTCCGACTGTTTAGACCCCAATCATTAAATCTCTCACCTCCCATCAAAACCGTATTTCAGTTTCTCCATCCATGTGTCATAATATCCTAGCCCTACAGCCCTAAACACAATGAAACCAATTTCTTCTCCATCTCCAGGTTGTTGAGCAACAATGAGGAAAAACTGTACAGTCACATCAGAAATGCGTTATCCTCACTTCCTGTGCCCTCAGCAGCCCGCAGCATTCCTTGTGCTGGTTTGTGGTCAGCACTCTCTCCAGCTCTGCCCTCGGCTCCCCATGACTCACTCTTATTAATGGCCTCACCTGCCACTTCCCAGAGGAAATAAACACTGTAAGTGTGAACTTCCTCAATCTTCTACTCCATTTGCTTGTTACATTCATTTCCACCCACCTCACCTCCCTCCCTCCATTTTCCTGTCTGCCTCTTCAAGATGTCAATCTATCCACTCCAAATCTCTGCTACACCAGTTTTTCCCTCTTTACTGGCTTATCTGCAGCACATAAGCCTAAATCCTTGCAAATATTTTCAAAAACCTCTTAACTGCATGATCTCTGTAGTTACTACTGTATTTATTCTCTTCATAATCAGACTAGGTTGGAAGCTGTCATTCTTGATGCTGCTGCTTTTGCTTCCAATGTTCCCCTACCACACTATAAACTCAGGCCACTAGTCCTATATGTTCCTAAAGCTCACCAGAAATGGTCATATAGCATCTTAGTGTACAAGGTGAAATTGGTATTTTTAAATATTTTATGTTGTGGTAACATATATATGTACACAATTTACCATTTTAATTATTTTGAATATTCAATTCTGTAGCATTAAACGCTTTCAAAATGTTTTACAACCATAATCACTCTGTATATGCAGAAATTTTTCATCATCAGAAAGAGAAACTCCATACCTATTATGCAATAACTCTTCAGTCCTTCTCCTTTTAGCCTCTGGGAACCTCCAATATACTCTTGCTTTGTGTCTATAAATTTGTCTAATGTAGCTCTCTCATGTAATTGGAATAATGCAATATTTGCTGTCTTATGTATGTTTATACTATTTAGCATAATGTTTTCAATGTGAATCCAGGTTATATTATAGCATTATCATGATGTCTTTTTTAAAGGCTGGATGATTATTTCATTATATGTATACTAACATATTTTGTTTATCCATTTATTGGTCTTTGGACATTTAGGTTGTTTTTATCTTTTTTACTGTTACTAATGTTGCTATGAATATTAGTGACAAGTATCTGTCTGGCTCTCTGCTTCCAGGTAGGTTTTTTGGTTCTTTGCTTTTTTTTTTTTTTTTTTGAGTATACATTTAAACATAGAATTTCTGATTGAGGAATCATGTGCTAATTCTATGTTCAGCTTTTTAGGACCAGCAACGCCCATCAGTGTTCTAATTTCTCTAGATCCTTACTAGCATTAGTTACTCTGTGATTTTTAGGTAATAGCCACCCTAATAAACACTACTTCATTTGGTTTTGATTAGCATGTTTCTAACAACTAGTGGCGGCTTTCTTTTTATTTCATTTGTCTGTTTGTTATTCGTATATCTTCTTCGAAGAAAGATCTATTCCAGTCATTTTTCTCATTTTTGAATTGAATTATTTGGAGGAATTTTTGCTGCTGACAAATTTTGGTCCTCTCTGTCTTGAGCACTTTGCAGCATTTTTTGTTGTTCTGACCAAAACAGCAGAAAATGCTACAGAGCACTTTCCCTTCCTTTCCCTGCGCCTAAATAACTCCGTTCTCACCTACTTGCTCTCTCCCTATTTCTGTCCTTCCTTAATAGTCACACTGCCCCTAGTAACTTCTGCCTGCTCTGACATTTACTGAATGCTCTATGTGTGCCAGGCTGTTTGTATTCTTTTCATTTATGTTTAAATCCATGCATTCCAAGGGGAGGTGGTATTACAAAGATTACCCTACTGATACAAACAGGAAGACTCAAAGAAATAAAATGTTTTTCTGAAGTTTATCAAAATACTTAGAGATAGACTTAACCTTTAAATGTAGTAAACTAGAATTATGTTCTTAAAATTATCCTTTCTCACTGAATGACATTAGCCACTAAATTAAGCTGTTATAGTCCTGTATTAATAAGTTACGTAATTGAATGATATAGTTGCAAATAGTGAAAAGTGTCTTTGACAACTTAAGCTGCAAAGATATTTGTGGCTAGGATATGAGATAGTTCACATAACTGAAAGGAAATCTGAAGAATTAGTCTTAAAAATAGAGTCCTAAATGAATTGCAACACTCAATTTGCAGGAAGCAACAGCAATTCTCATCAGCACTCAGCCCCTTGAATGAATTGGTTGGAAACTAGTTCAGCTCCTTGGTCAAACTGGAATTCAGAAAATGAACATCATATTGGTTGGGCTTTGATACCTGCCAAATCCATGGGCAAAGAAGACTCAAGAACACACACTGATTGAAAATCCAAGGTGGCAGTATCAAAAAGGGAAAAGTTCATGCCTCAAAAGCAAAACAACAATAAAAAAGCAGATGCAAAATAATAAGTTCATTATGTTTTTAATTTTTGATACTTTATAAAAAATTAACCAGTGCAAAATACCATGGAGAAATTTTCTTAGAGGATTGGGACTGGAACTCATAAGAGATCAAACAGCAGAAGAAAAACAAAATTATTTTGTCCAGTGAACCACACAAGAAAAGTTGTAGAACACATTGATGAGCTGATGGGTGAACAGGCAGACAGAATCACAAACATCTACTACATAAAAACCAAAATGATGCCAACCATGCCCTTGCAAGAAAGGACAGGAAAACAAACATACAAGCTATCAGTGTAAGCAATTCTTGCGTATAGAACCTGCAATTTTCATCTGTGAATGCTACCTCAGGTGTGACAATTGAAGCAAAAATCATTTTTGCTACCGAGTTCTGTTGTTATTTTCATTACAATGTTTAATGTTATTTTAGGTTTAATGTTATTTTAGGATGCCTATTTTAAGCAGTCATTACACATTTGATACTTTATTGATGGGCCAGGGATATAGTTCAGTGGCACAGCACCTGCTTGTCAGGTGTGAGATTGTAAGTGTGATTCCTGGTACCAAAAAAAATTTTTTTAAGATATTTTATTGATCTCTTATTTATCTACTAAGCATACATTGTACAACATAGTAGGAAGCACCTGACAAAACAGGAAGACAGCAAAGGTGACAAGAATGGCCTGCCATATTGGAAAACAAAACTCAGAACACATGCTATCAGTTTAAGTGAGCTATGTGCACAAAACATGCAGTTTTAATGTGTGAAGACTGCATCAATGTGACAGTTGAAGCAAAGATTATTTCTGTGGTAGACTTTGTTTGTGCTTACATTATAGTTTGTCGGTGTCACTCCCGGCCGGCAGGAAGGACACACAACAAAGTCTGGCAGTGGACAACCTTTTCTTTTATTTTCCTTCTCCGTACAGCCTGCCCCGGGAATCCTCCCGGCCGAAGCCTCTGTTGGTCCGCTCCCCGCGGCTCCTTGCGTGCTTCTCCCTACAGTCTGTCCCGAAGCCTCTACCGGTCCGCTCTCCGTGGCTCCTTGCGTGCTTCTTCTGCTTCTTTTGCTTCTTTTTTCGTGGCGGGAGAGGCACTCACTTTTATAGGGTTACAGTGGCCAATCAGTTCAAAGCGCGCGATGCGGGCTGATTGGCTAACATCAGTTGTTGCTAGGCAGACTATCTTACAGGGCGGGTTGTGAAGCAGGAGATCTTACAGGGCGGGTTGTTTACCAAGCAGGAAGCAGGAGATCTTACAGGGCGGGTTGTTTACCAAGCAGGAAGCAGGAGATAAGCGCCATCTTAGCACACTCGATGGGAGGGGTAATCTAGCTCAGGCTTTGCTCTTTCCTACAGGCCTCACGTCCGCCAAGTAAGGCGACCGGGCTCGGCCGCGGCTCCCAACATCTCCCCCTTTTTTATTTTTTATGAATGTGCGCATCGTAGCCCTTCCTGGACTGGGTGCAGAGGCTTATGCCCTATGCGTAGGCCCACCGTAGGTCCTTGGCTTAGACCCTGGTCGGCCGTCCCATGGTCTGCCAAGGCCTTGAGGCCCTCGTCCTTTTTCTAGGGCCAGGCACAAACTGGACGGAACCTGGATGCACACAAGCTTGCACTCATTTCCTCTCCGTAAAGAAATCCCCTCGGAGAGAAATTTAGACCTGGGCAGCATCTAACAGTCCAGCGGCTTACGTGCAGGATGGGGTAGGGCCTGGCTTAGGTTGAGTCGCACCGGGGGAGTACGCTCTTACCCGTCATTGACTCTCCTACTCAGCTATGTCATAATTTTTTAGAGGAGGAGTGTGGGAAGCTCACCGCCCCTAGACTCGGTCGTAGGCTAGGCGAGCGAGCCATGCATATGCCTGAGGATCTTTTTGTCCATTTTGGGCTACCACTATTTCTATTCATCTTGTTGGTTGGTCTGTGATGGATCTCCGGTAGGGCAGGTCTGATCTTCAGTCGAGGGCTTTGTTGCCCGTGTCAGTCTCTCCGGTACCCACAGTGGTTCTCGTCCCGGTTCCTGTGGGAAAACACAAACCGCGCCTCGGCTCCAGCTGATTACCGGATCCGGGCCCATCCATTGTCCTGTTAGGACATCTTTCCATTTAACCCACCCTTTATGGTTGGGGGAAGGGTTGCAGTGCTCCATAGCTGGGGAGCAATTATCATTATTTAAATTTAAAAAATTGTGTGTGAATAGTGCCATGGATAATCGTGCCTTTGGGGCCAGGCCTTGGCCTACTCCCCCTTTTTGTTTTTGTAAAATTTCTTTGAGGCTTCTATGAGCCCTCTCAATGATTCCTTGACCTTGGGGATTGTATGGGATACCATGCTTTAATTGTCTGCCATTGATCTTAAGCAAAAGCATGGGCCTCTTGTCAAGAGTCATGTGGAGTACTGGAACCTCTTATGGAGGCTGGGGAGCAGCAAGAGCTGTGCTATCCTGTCCCCCTCATTAATTACCATAGTACCTACAAGAGTTTGAACCATAATCTGAATATTTCCTGTATAATCTGAGTCTATGACCCCAGGGATCACCGTAAGACCCCGGAGGGCTGTAGAGGACCTTCCAATTACCAAGCCAACCGTGTCTTTAGGCAGCGGCCCCTTAAAGGTGGTCTCAACCACCTGAACACCCATATCGGGCGTCAATATGAGTCTGGAGGCGACACAGAGGTCCACGCCTGCTGACCCAGGGGTAGCCCTTGTGGAAGGCTGCCACCCTGTGTTGTCCTGTCTCGGGGGTGGGGGCCCGCCGGCGAGGAGGGCCCCCTCTGGCCGTTTTTTGGCTCGTTAACATCTCGGCCACAAATACGATTTCCCTGAGCGTCATAAACTGACCTGCAATCCTCTGCCTTATGTGGACCCTTTCTGCATCGCCCACAGACGTTATACGATCCTTCATTTTTAAGGCGAGGCTTGGCGTCTGCACTATTTGGGCAGTTGCGTTTAATGTGTGCTTTTTCGTAAGCCTAGCTGAGCGGAGCGCAATTCGCGGCGCAACGCAGCGAAAGAGCCTTGCGTCTCCCCATCAAGCGACTTAGGCCCCTGACAGCTGGTCTCTTTGGCCTCCTCACCATTCAACCTTCCCTCGTCCTCGGAGTCAGACGACTCCGAGGCTTGAGCCCCGTCCTCCTCCTTAGCATCTTTGTTCCCCTTGACGGACCCCTCTCGGGAGCTCCCTGACTGGGCCTGCTCAAATACCCTGCGTACTTTTGTAAGCTCTTGAGAGCTTTCCCCGCAACCACCCTCACTCTTAGTGCCGCTACCTAGCATGTTTCCCATTTTTTAATATGTTACTCACCGCGTGAGGCCCAAGGAATCCGCCACTTACGCGTGAGCCTGAGAGGAGTCTACAAACCCTGTAGGTGCGCGCCACCCAGGGCCCAGGTTTATCCTCTACTCACCTGTCTTGCAGCTCTGCGTTGGAGCGTTGTCCACTGCCACGTCTCGGGGGTGATCAGCTCCCCGTACGGGCCACCAGATGTCGGTGTCACTCCCGGCCGGCAGGAAGGACACACAACAAAGTCTGGCAGTGGACAACCTTTTCTTTTATTTTCCTTCTCCGTACAGCCTGCCCCGGGAATCCTCCCGGCCGAAGCCTCTGTTGGTCCGCTCCCCGCGGCTCCTTGCGTGCTTCTCCCTACAGTCTGTCCCGAAGCCTCTACCGGTCCGCTCTCCGCGGCTCCTTGCGTGCTTCTCCCTACAGTCTGTCCCGAAGCCTCTACCGGTCCGCTCTCCGCGGCTCCTTGCGTGCTTCTTCTGCTTCTTTTGCTTCTTTTTTCGTGGCGGGAGAGGCACTCACTTTTATAGGGTTACAGTGGCCAATCAGTTCAAAGCGCGCGATGCGGGCTGATTGGCTAACATCAGTTGTTGCTAGGCAGACTATCTTACAGGGCGGGTTGTGAAGCAGGAGATCTTACAGGGCGGGTTGTTTACCAAGCAGGAAGCAGGAGATCTTACAGGGCGGGTTGTTTACCAAGCAGGAAGCAGGAGATCTTACAGGGCGAGTTGTTTACCAAGCAGGAAGCAGGAGATCTTACAGGGCGGGTTGTTTACCAAGCAGGAAGCAGGAGATCTTACAGGGCGGGTTGTTTACCAAGCAGGAAGCAGGAGATAAGCGCCATCTTAGCACACTCGATGGGAGGGGTAATCTAGCTCAGGCTTTGCTCTTTCCTACAGGCCTCACGTCCGCCAAGTAAGGCGACCGGGCTCGGCCGCGGCTCCCAACAATAGTTCACATATGTTTCCATTTCCGATGCTATCTCTTAGGTTTTGTAAGCAAATACACAGCTGATGTGAAAATGTTGATGTTTATTCTAAATGCACAATCCATGTTAAGAATTTAATACTTTATTTTATTGATACGTTATGCTCCTGTTAACTATAAATTGCTTAATACAATAAGAACTGTCTGATAAAACAACAAGACCAGCGAGATGCCAAGTATGTCCTACAAAAATGCCAGGAAAGCCAAATACATGTGTTGTCAGTGTGAACAATGCAACTGTATAGAGCATACTGTTGCCATGCATGAAGACCCCCTTAGGCATGACAGTAATATTTTTTGTAGTGTGCTATTGGTATTTTCAATTTAGCTCATATAGGAATTTATTACTTCTTTCGACCTTATAACCAAAAATCATCAATGATGAAATTTTTGATGCCTTTTTATAAACTCAATGAATATTAAAAATGCAATACTTTATTTTTGTGATACTTTTTGTGTTAAGCATTCATTATTTCATATAATAAAACTGATAAAATTAATAATTCATCAATATAAATGTTCTAGAGAATAAACATGGTTTTGATGCACACATGTTTGTGGGACTTTTTAATAAAAAAGGTTATGCTCCATCAGATAGGTTGATGGTAACTTGTTAAAGAAATAATTTAGAACTAATATACATATTTAAAGTTAGAAGTATAATGTTAACAGATATATTTTACATAATATTTAATACATTGGAATTATATTGATTTATTGAACAGCAAAGACATATCCTGTGATGTGCCATGCACTTAGTCATCCAGTAAAAAGTTAAATAAAATAAAAAATAATATAAAGTGTGAACTTGTTCCACATCAGGACCAAATTGTTAGATAACAAAATGTCACAAAACAGTGTAACTAAGGTTACATTAGATTGCATAACAAGAAGGAGGTGCTATATATGTTAATGCAGTGGTACTTTGATTCAAACTTGATTTTCTCCTTGATTTTGGTCACAAACTGAGTTGTATTAGAACTGAATCATATACAGTGGTTAGGGTCAGTGTTGACCTTATAGAAAAACTTTGTTCAGTTCTCGTCTAGCTTGGCTTGCCAACAGAACCATGAAGGGAATTGATTTTGTGGACTGAAGTGCTACTATACTGCACATAAGAGACTATCTAGACTTGAATTTCAGATATCCTGATTATTGTGGATAAAACAAGTAAGAAATACTAGAGACCTCTCTGTTTTAGAATTAAACCTTATCCTTACCCTGAAAATGACATACCATTTCTTAAACATGATCAGATTTGGGGCTCAGAAGTTGTAGCTCATTGGATGATAGATAAATGAGAGTAAATGCAGACTAATATGGCTGGAAGTATCAGAAAGCAAATAAAATAAAACCTGAGAGTAAACTTAAAAAGCTGACATTCTGGAATATGACACCTACCTCCTTGACTAAAACAATTAGGGCAGCTATCGATGCTATGAACAGAAATGACAATGTAGCATTCGCTACAGCTCAACTGTTGTGACTACAGTGAGTAACACTGTTTTGTATTCTCAAGAGTAAGTTTTAAATTTTATCACCACAAAAATATATCAAGTATATGAGGTAAGGCTTATATTAATTAGTAAGATTCAGCCATTCCACAATATGCATTATTTTTAAGATAACTTTATACATGATGTGCTCCAACAAAACATATACTAAAAGAATTTTGCACATGATAAATATGCACAATTCATATTTGCCAATCAAAATAAATATTTAAAAGGAAATAATATTTGTGAATTTAAAGATACTTTTTATTTATGAAACAGAAGTTTTCCTACCTAGAAGTTCTGTAGAAATCTATTTCAAAACAGTTGCTTTGATTTTTGATTAGGAAAACAGTGACTCTGAGCAAAATGGAATCACATCATGTGCACTCTTAATGGGAGAAGCCAGGTGGCTTTATATACTGTATGTTGCCCAAAAGGTTGAGCTTCTCTACTTAAAGTTTCCAATGTAAAAAACAAAAATAAAGAACAGAGCCCAAAGTTGTAAGGTGAATCACGTTAGAGAAAAAATAAGAAGATTATGAATACCCAAGCTTGTGAAAATAAATAACATTTGGAAGTCCATGCTCTCTCTACTCAGATAAAGGTTAAAATCAAGTAGAGGATACTGCCAATTATTTGAAGCTCTTTGGAGACTATAGAAGAAGTATTTTCAATAACTTCACCAATGCACCTCTTTTTCATTCCATAATTCTTTGTATCCATGCCCATTAATGACAGGATCATAATAAAAACTTGTTTCAGGGAAATATTTGACAAGAACTATTTACCTTTGGTTTGTACTACATCTCCAGCTCTTAGACGAACTGTCCAGTGAAGATGACAGCATTTTTGCTCAGCTGGATATTCCAAATCAATAAATCCATTTTGATTTGTGTTTGCTGTCAATTTCTACCTTCAACACCATCAGTTACAATTTGTACTACCCAAAGTCCCCAAGAATGAGTTACTACTCCTTCAAGATATGAACACAACTTGCACTCACTCTCTCTTTTACTGTCCATCTTAGTCTTGGGCAGGCTAAACTCTGTTTACTAAAATTAATTTTAAAAATCACAGAACTGAAAAAAAGAACTTTAAATGAATGAAAATATTCTAACCAAAAATGAAAAAGCCCTGAGTTCATTGTTAGAAAACATCCTTGAATTGATCTGATTTTATGAAATTGGAAGGCTTAAAAGCCATCCTACTCAATCTTCTAAAGCTATAAATTTTTTGAGTAGCAAATTCACATTTGATTGAAAAGATGGAACATAGCATTTTCAGTTTAATGCTTTCCAGCAAAGTTTGTCATTCACTGGATTATATGCTTAATGTAAGTTTAAAACATGTATTTTAGAAAATTTATTTTCTGTAAGAAAGATGAATTTATATTAATCAGACAACAAAATAATAATGGTGACCTTCTTTTGAAGTACATTTGAAGGCATTATTCAGTAAACATTTATTGAGCAATTTCAATGGACAAAGTACTATACTGGGAATGAAAACAATATATACAAACATATTTATAATGTGGCTTTTCCATGAAGAAGTTTGCAGCCTAATGAGAAAGATGAACACACAAAACCCTTATTGGTTTGTTTTTAACTGTAAACAAATATCAAAGGAAAAATGAAAAATTAGCATAAGAAATGTAAAGAAGAATGCAATTTCTTCTCAATGATAAGGAGTATGTTGCAGGATGCGACATTAGGTTAAGCTTTAAAAGGATAAAATGAAAGTAGAAATGATGGGAAAGTGGTGAGGGATAGAGAAATGAGTCATTGAAAAAACAAAGGCAAAAAGGAAAAGCTCAGGGTGTACATTATAACAATTAGGACAGTTTGGTCGAAGCACATAATACTCAAATAGGCAAATAGAGAAACTAAACTATGAGAAGTTAAATGCTAGGAGTCATTGAAGGTGTTCTAAGAAAAAGGTCATGACTAAAACTATTCATGTATAAAGTAAGGAAGCAGAAAATAGCAAGCCGTGGAGATGGTACAGGAGAGCTAAAAATGGTTTTTCAAGATTTTTGAATTTTGCATGTGTAACATGTCTTGATGCTATGTGCTGGCTGGGCAGCACTCCCCATGTACCACCTATGTCTTCCTGCTTGGCTTTTTCCATGGTGTACTTCTGGATCTGTCCTTCTGAGTTCAATGTTCAGTCAAAATGCAAGGTCCCAACCCTTACCAGTCTTCATCTTTCTTCTGCAGTTAACACAGCTATGGCTCCACATGTATCATAAGGACCACAGACAAAATCGTAGGAACTCTTCTCTATATTTAAGGTGCAAAAACTAGTAGAAAGATCTAAAAGCCAGGAAAAGAAGTAGAGGGAGAATGTTCCAAAGTTAAGAACAAACACAAACAGTGAAATGCCATGGAATGTACAAGGTAGTGTTTTAAGAACAGAGAATTCAAAACTATCTGTTTCTATGGAAATAAATAAAAATGATGAGAGTATTTGGAAATCACCATATCTTCTAAATATCTGTTATAGTATTTTAACTGCAGTTCAGATGTTTACCAAAGATATGGACTGGGATTTCAATCTTGCATATTGCCTGATACATGAAAAATATAATTATTTATTAGTTAAATGAATGGATTAGTAAGCTGTAGTCATTCAATGGCATGATTCAAAAGAAAATTTCACCTTTAAAACAAATAAAATGGTAAAAAAAATTGAGAGATAAAAAATTAGTACTAGTCAATGCAGATTAAGTAGTTTGAAAGGAAATAGTAAAAGAAACTAATAGCATAAAAAGTCAGGGTCTTTTGTTATTGTGCTAATAGCAGTCAATCCTTTCATTCTTTTATTTTTAAACATGAAGGAGACGTGGGTGCCTTTATAGATTGTAAAAAAATACAATCAAAAAATGATAAAGATGAGAAAGCATAGTTTTGGGAGCAAACATCCAGAGAAGATTGGAGGACATGAAATAAAGTGAAAAATATTGGAAAGACAAAGCAAATTTTCAAAAAAGGAAGTATGATACATCTCATTCAGAAAAATGAAGACAAAAGACTTGTATTATGTAAAAAAAATCAACAGATCATCTTTGAAACATAAACCTTGGGCTAGATACTGAGAAATTCTGAAATGAAGAACTTTGGTAACTTCTATCTCTTTGAAAGAAGAGAAAGGATGGGAGCATCGACATGGAATAATGGTAAGCAGCAGAGCAAGAGCCTGTGAGTCGCCATCCAGATGCTGGAATACAACAACAATTGGCCAGGAGCCATCTAAGAGAGAGACGAACTGAGCTCAAAACTCAGAGCTGCTCCAGCTCCATCCAGCAGACACAGCTGGGCTCAGGATCATAGAAGCTGCATAGATGGTTGCAGACTGAGTCTGGTCTTGGCCAGAAGGTGTAGGCTCACTGAGATTATCCAGCACCCCAGCAAAAAGCTACTGCTGGCTTACTGGGATAGATCAGCATGG